ATCTCACTACATTGCCCAGGCTGATCTCAAACTCCTGGGCTCAAACAATTCTCCCGCCTCGGCCTCCTAGAGTGCTGGGATTACAAGTGTGAGCCACTGGGCCTGGCTGATAACTCTTTTTCTTGAGTTTCTAAGGGCGATGCATGTAAAGGTTCCTCGAGGTCACAATTGGGCAACCAGTTCAAAGTAAATAGGGCAGTGTCTGGGAGGATGGGGGATGGTGTGTGTACCTACTAATCTAGTAATGGCCAGTGTTAGAGAAAGTGGGTGAGGTCTGACCCAATGTAAATATTTTCATTAAAAAAAAGTAATGGAAGGAAGAGAAACCAAAGTCACTTCTGTTGCTGATCTGGAAGATGCTATTTACTTGGGTAGAAATAGGACTGGGAGGGGCGTTGGCTTTGAGCTTACTCACTGAGCTCATTGTTTAAACAAAAACTCCTGGGAAGCTTGAGACAAGCACATGAATAAATCAAAGGTAGTAAGCGGTGTGGACAGGTCTTGTAGGAGTCTGGAACATGAGGGATTTGAGAAGGATGAAGATGAGCGTGTTATAGGAGCGCAGGTAGCAAGAGGCAAAAGCCTACAGGAGGGAGGGAGGGCTTGGAATGTCACCATGCAAGGGGTGGGGTGCAGGGATGCACAAGGGAGCTCTGAACAGCCACCACAGAAGACATGTGAGGAAGAGGCACGACAGCACAGAGACTACTAGTGTAGACTCATGCTGCCTGGGTGTGAAACCCAGCTCTGCCACTTAGTACCTGTGTGACCCTGGGGCAGCTCACTTAACCTTTCTGTGCCTCAGCTTCCTCGTTTATAAAGTGGGAGTAGCCAGGCTCAGTGGCTCAGCCTGTAACCTCGCGCCTTTGGGAGGCTGAGGTGAGTGGATTGCCTGAGCCCGAGGGTTCGAGACCCGCCTGGGCAGGCGAGACCTCATCTCTACAATAAATCAAAAAATTAGCCGGGTGTGGTAGTGCATGCCTATAATTCCGGCTACTTGGAAGGCTGAGGCGGAAGGATCGCTGGAGCCCAGCAGGCGAGGCTATGGTGGCCGGGAGCGGCCATTGCACTCCAGTCTGGGCGACAGAGTGAGACTCCAACTCAAAAAATAAAAAATAAAAAAATAAAGTGGGAGTAACAACAGAACCTGTGTTATAAGCTTGCAAGGTTTAAGCGAGCATCTACCTAGAAAGGCTTTAGAAAAGTGTCTGGAGCTATGTCCTACTAATATGAAGCCTTCTTCCCCCAGAAGCAGACCCAGTGCAGATAGTGCATTTAGGGAGTGATCTCAGGAAGCATGAATAGGGGAGTGGAAAATGGGATAGGGAAGGAAGGCAGTCAGTAAAGGATATGTTTTTAAGCAAATTTACCATTGTGGGTTAGTGCAAGTTAATCTCGCTGAGGAACTCTAGAGTGGTGCCAGAACATAGGCTTCAGAGTTATCCCACGGTGGCGCAGCGAGGGAGTTGGAATATTTATTTACTTATTTATTTATTTTGAGTTGGAGTCTCAGTCTGCTGCCCAGGCTGGAGTGCTGTGGCACGCTCACAGCCATCGCAGTCTCAATCTACAGGGCGCAGGTGATTTTTCTGCCCCAGCCTTCCAAGTAGCTGGAACTATAGGCATGTGACACCACACCCATGTAATTTTTTTTTTTTTTTTGAGTTGGAGTCTCACTCTGTCGCCCAGACTGGAGTGCAGTGGCCACTCCCGGCCACCGCAGCCTCGACCTGCTGGGCTCCGGCCTGCTG